TCCCCCCCCCCCCCCTCCCCGCAGCCCCCTCTCTGATTACTCCAGGCTCGAGAGAGGCCAAGCTGTTACGATTGGCCCGCGAATACGATGCGCACGTATCGTACAATTCGTATGCTCGCGTTTAAGGCGTCGTGGGTCGGTAAACCGTTCGATGGGAATCGTGAGAAATCTCGGGGCCATTGATAAGTTTGGAGCAATTAAACCTTCTCGGTACGAGAAAACGTTGAATAGAATCTGGACGACGATGGTATTACGGTGGTCGATTTCTCGATCGTAAACCTTGCTTAGAATCCTTGGCTCGTACATTGGAAAAGGAAGTTTCTAGGTTCTTCGTTCTAGTTCGTGGGACGATCGAACGTTCGCGCGAATCTGTCCTTCTTTCCGATCGCGATACGAGTCTCTGCGCGCATCGGCGACGAAAGACAAGAGTCGCCGGTTAAAAAGCAACGAAGGAGACAAAAGCGGCGTTCCAAGGTGTTGCGGCACGTTCGCGTTTCCGATGCGACCACGCGCGTAAGATGGACGCGGGAATACGCGTAATCGGCCTGCTCGTTTACGCAACGATCGCTCTGCCTCGTTCTCGGTGCCGGTGCCGGTGCCGGTGCCGGTGCCGTGAAAGTCAACGGTTGGGCCAATTTTGAGGGAAATATGCGACCGGAGAAAATGAAGAACGCGGCCGATGAAAGTCGAACCTTGGAACCGTTCCAACGCGGGTGACGCAGGGAGCGGCGCGCGCGATCGTAATTGCCGATTAATTGTTCGCGATCGAGATCGAGAACGATCCTCCGTTGGACGCCTTCCTCCGATCGCGCAACACCGACGGTTTCGGAAGCGGAAGGGAAATTCCGAGCTCGATATCTCGTACCATCGGGTCGGTCGTGTTTCGCAATAGCCGTGTCGTTGTCCGTTGCTTTCCACCGATAAATAATATCGTTGCGCGATCGCGCATTCGTCGTATTTACACGATTGGACGTGTGTTACCGTTGCCGCGACTCGACGTGTATTTTAATATTTCGCTCGTAGACGCGCGGCGCTAATTACGTGAGATAATTTTGCAACGGTTCGACGAATGCGCGTAAATCGTGGTTTTCAAAAGTGTCGAGCCTCTACGGTCGGCGTCTCTGTTTCTCGAAAGGAAATACAGCGGCACCGTGATCGCAAGGACCTTACGATAACCGTATCAAAAGCGAGCCACTCGATTGCTAAACGATACGTCCGAATTTAACGACGGTACGGTCGATAGAAGCACGGATTGAATCGTGAGTGAATTTTAATTACAAAACAATAACGCGTCTGCGCTTATTATACAACGTTGTAATATATCTTATATCAACAGGAATGCGTTAAGTACGAGTGGCAGGATCGTGTAGCTACTTTTTTTTCTTTAGTTTGGTAGCGATCGTTGTCTGCGGTTTCTGCCAGTCCAGAGGTTTACGGCGGTACATGGGCCAGGGTGGTAACGTGATTACGGCAGCCATTAGAAATCCAGCACCGATAATGTAAATCGTTTGCGAGAATTGTTGGATAACGTATCCCCATATGAATCCGACCACCTGCGAACGATAATAAACCGTGTTGGAATAAATTTCGATTTACGACTCGGCGTTTGAGCGTTTCGTATGCGATGTCTTACTCCGAACAGCGTTATGATTACTCTGGACAATTTTTCTGCCCGAGCTTGGCCTTCGTAGTCCTAAAAAAGTAAGCAGTTTCAATAAAAGGTACACGTATCTTTGTTCAACGTCACCTGGACAAGTCGTGTTCGACTTTGACAGCTGGTGGCACATAACCTATGCGTATAGAAATCAAAACATTGCTTATACGTTACTTACGGTATCAGTGGTTTATCGTTAATCGAAGGTTCAATTACGAACTCACCGTATGGGTTGGAATGGACATAATATATTGCTTCCACGCACTCATTCTAAATAAATAACACGAACGTACCAGCTGCAGTGTACACGCGGACGAACTGCAGTATGGTTATGGTCGGTTATCCGGTCTCGGCGATGGTTGCGGTTCGCGTTACGGTGCGGCCGTATGTACGGCACATGGCGCGTAGCTTGTATAGCCTATGGCCTGCGTGCAGTCGTGCGGCTGCGGAGCGTGGCGCGGCTGCGGAGCGTGGCGCGGCGTGGAGCAACGCGGAGCAACGCGGAGCATAAGGAATCGTGGAACGCGGACCGGATCGTGAATTCCGTCTAGGACGAAGAATCGTTGTCTCGCGAAGCAAATTTTGGCGCCAGATTCGACGAGTTTCATGAAAACGCGCCCGAGAGAATTCGTAATCTCTTCCGAAATTATTTTCTACAATATAACCGCGTGATTTCGTAACGAATTCGAGATTCAACGATCGTAATCAACGGCGAGAATCCTTGCGCGTAGCGGTGCACGCATCGATGAGGTAACGAGCGAATCGATTCACACTTTCGCGCACAGCAATTAAAGAATCAACGTAATCGTTAATTAAACCTGATCGTTTCGTTTCGCCCAACTTCCTCTTTGCGCGATTTCTTCTCATTTTTTCAGATGCGCGATGCACGGATTACGCGTATCGTTGCTTTCTAATGCGTTCGACTACGAATAACGCGGTTAAAAGTCGGACGAATTTAACGAGAGAACGGGTCGAGATAGAAATTTAATAATACAATAATACATATATTTCTTTTCAATAACGGTCGAACACGATGGATTTCTCTATTCGTAAAGGGAGATTATTTTATTCGGACCAGAGATATTACATTATGCTCGAACGTACACGCACGCACGCACGCGCGCACACACACGTTATAGAAATAATTGATACGAAAAGTTTTCTACTTGAAATTCCTCCACGTTCCCTATCCCCCCTTCTCTTTCGCGAACCGTAGGAAGAGGTTGCAGACGACGTTTCCATTATGGTTCGTGCCAAAGATCGTGTCACCGATCGGATACTTACTTACGCTTTACTTTTTTCAAATGTTGACGAGACCGATCAATGTCGACACCTGTTAGAAAACAAACGCGTTTCTATCGCGTTCTGCAATGCTATCGAATCCGAATGGGAGAGTCGAAATCGTCGCGTTGCAACGGTTTGCAACGTTACGACGATACGTCGAACATAGCAAACCACGGTTAACAAAATCACACTTTTCCTTCCAAGTATTGAAATGCGTTTAATGCTTATTACACGTATTCCTCGAACCGCTTCATTTTCATTCGCTGTCGTTATACAAATTCGGAGCAATCAAATACATACAGTGGTTTCAACGGCCACGGGGGATACATGCTTTTAAATGCGAGATCGCTCCAACAGCATCGTTTCTTTCCTTACACGAACAAGTATTCTTACGTAACATTTTTAAATAGGACGATAGTAGGCAACCGACTACTTCTTTTTCTTCGATTTCGACAAAGCATTGGTTTCTGCTTTAACGTTGACGTCGCAGTGTTGACACTGTGGTTTCTGCCAGTCCAAAGGTTTACGGCGGTACATGGGCCAGGCTGGTAACGTGATTACGGCAGCCATTAGAAATCCAGCACCGATGATGTAAATCGTTTGCGAGAATTGCTGTATCGCGTATCCCCATATGAATCCGACCACCTGGAAGTGCGAATTATTTTTACATAGCAATCGTTTCTCTTGGGTGGCGACGAGTACTTCGAGCACGGTCTCTTACTCCAAAAAGCGTTATGATGACCCAGGACAAATTTTCTGCTCGTGCCTGGCCCTCGTAATCCTGAAAAGGAACAACGCGATCGTTCATCTATCCTGATCCCACTCGTGCTATCTATTTATCGCAACGCGTAACGCTCGCTGTAATCTTGTATCGGAGAACATAACCTCGCGCAAAGAGGTTAAACGGATACTACGAAGGTACGCGTTTCCATCGCGATCGAGATAATTTCTAAATTTACCATATGCACAGGAATGGATTTGAAGTATTGCATCCACGCGTTCATTGTAAATAAATAATAGTAATGTACCGGCTGTATTGGAACAACCTCCGCTTCGAGCTTGCTTCGAGTTGCCCAGTGTTGACGTTGCACACGCACGCGCTCACCGCGCGTACGTTCCTCCGTGGCGGAAATTTCAAACGCTTAAATTTTTAGCGTTTGCCAATAATAATAATAATAATAATAATAATAATAATAATAATAATAATAATAATAATAATAATTTCGATCGTGCGTTCCAGACGAAGTCTACGGTCAAGGAATAATTCTCATTAAAAAAAACAATTAAGTTTACAATTGTATATTATGTAAAATATTACGTACAACGTCGAGTATCGATACTGTTACGATAAAGCAATCTTGTGATGTCACAGGATCGAAAATTCACTTATAGCGACGGCATAGAACGATATCGGACATTCGCATTTCGTAGCAACGTACAACGAGCGATAACGATTCGAAAAACCTTGACACGAGTGACACGAGTTTTTTTGCATGCTCGGAATCTGGAACGAAACCGAGTTAAAATATTTTTGCAATGGAAATATATCTTTCGAGATCAGCTTCGTCGAGTCTTTCGTACGAACTATTTCTCTTACAAGTACGGTTAACAGAAGTACCGGAGTATTTACAACAAAATATGTATAAAAGAATGTACATAGCTACCAATTTCACGATCTCTTTTTAAATTAATGCCAAAGCAGTCGACGATCGAGTAGATTTACCAAAAATTTACATATCCGAAACGAAACGATGTCACGTGCGCAAAATAGGTAACGCGAAACAAGCACGTAAATAGGTGTAACAGATTTTACGCAGGTTCGCGTTCAACGGAAACGATCGAAATCCGTGCAAAGATCCAAAGTCCGATAACAATCGAGATCGTGTCACCGATTACTAAAAAGATCGAGAGAAGTCGGCGCATAGTTGTACCGAATACAGGATCATAATCTCGCGATGGCAGAATCTTCGTACACGGGCGAGCTCCACGCGGGCTCGTTGGTGGATCTCGCAAAATTCACCGCGTCCGCAACAGTGGGAAACACTGCGAACAATCCGCCCCTGCATTCCGTCAGGTTGCACTTTCTCATCATCTCGTACACAGGACCTGCAACACGTTCGAACGGACGTTGCGATTCGTAATTACACAATGCGCGACGCTTCTTCGTCGGCCGTGATCCGTGATCGTTCGTAGCTTCCAGTAGCTTCCGCTTTCGATCGATTTCGGTTTACCGATTGTGCGATCGTTCGCCGATTACAGCCGTGGACCAGCGACGTTCGCGTCGCGTTAAACATCGATTACGGTTAAATTGGACAACGGAAAAGCGAACCGAGAGCACAGAACCGTCCGGAAGGATCTGCTGCATCGATAACGCAAAATATAATCGAGTTACGTAACGTTTAACCATAATTTAAGGAGCGATCGGTTGCGTTAAATTACAAATGTAATCGTTTGTTTTTCGATAGAATATCGACGCGGTAGATTTTCCTGAACAATTCCGTACCCTTGGTTCAGTTTTTCGTGTCCCAATTTCGCCGTAATTGATGTTTTTAAGCGACCCTGGTCCGCGTACACGCGGACGACGGTGGCGCCTCCTTCGGAGAAAAACCGAAGCTACACCGCACCGATCGGCGCTGTGTACGGACCTCGAACGGAGCCTCGGTTTTTTCCCACAAGAGGCGCCTCCGTCGATAACGAACGATACATATTCCGACGAACGATAAGAAAAACGTTGGACAGAGAATTATGCTGGGAAAGGGACTAGGGAGAGAAACTCGAAGATGGAAAAGGGGCAGTAGGGGGGGGGGGGGTGAGAGCGGTCCATCGAAGATCCGGCGAAATCGAACGGATCGAGAAACCGAACCGCGGATCGCGGCAGCTCTCCCGGTTAGCACGAGTCATAGGTTATATGTCACAGGGCACAGGGCATAGGCGCGGGTCGACCGTTCCTCCGATCGCTCGAACCGTCCGCGGACATTTTTCCCAGCGGTCGAAAACGGTCGAACGAACGGTCTACTTTGGTCGGAGTCCCGTGCTTCGTCGGCGACGATTTTACTCACCGGAACAGCCGGCTACGTACACGAACACGTCCGCATCGGAGTACTCGTCGATCAAATTTCCGAGGGTCGTTGCAGCCGCCGGATCCATGCGACTCACCGCCGTGAAATCCAATATCAGGGTGCGTAACTGTAACGTGATCACGAGGAAATTGACTTTTTTTCGACGCGCCCGGCCCGTTGCCGTCGCGCAACGGTTATTCGTCCGGTAGAGATAGAAGGTTATCGACTTCTCGCCGATTCTATCCCCTGCTTTCAATTCCGGGGTTTAGGTTATTTTTGCGATCGCGCGAACGTCGACGAAAGTCGTAGGGTCGCTTTCTACGAGTCGCTTTCCACGTTCGACCCGCGAAAGCGTTCTACCGGCGCGCGACGCGAGCTCACCCTTTCGATATCCTTGAGTTCGTCGTGCCTGAAGCTCGCGTCCGGCTCCTTCCGCGGCGTTAGGCCGGTAACTTTGTACACCGTGTTGCGAAAGTGTTGTCTGCAGGCGAAGTTCAGACTTCCGGAGTAGTGGAAGATCTTGATCCGCGGCAGCTCGACGGTCTGGAACAGTTTACCGAACGTTTAGAATCGCCTCTGGACTCTTTAGCCTGGACCGAGACGTTTCGAGAAAGGGAGGCAACGGACCGTTGGCCGAGCGTCGTTGGGGCCCGCGCGTCTACTCGGAAGCATCGGTTGAGACAAGAACGAAGAGACTTTGCGAATTCTTCCGTAGCTGCCGTTCGTATTTCTCGCAGCCGAAGAACCTGGCTCGCGCGGTCTAGGACTCGATTCGAGGACGAGGCTTCGTTCGCTTGCTCCACCGAGGCCCTAAATATAACCGACACCGCTAATACTACTACTACTGTTACTACTACTACTGTTACTACTACTACTGTTACTACTACTACTACTACTACTACTACTACTACTACTACTACTACGCGCGCACACACACGTTAGCGTGGGGTAATTTGTAATATTTGGCGGCACAGTCGGCGGCGGCCGCTTCGCGACGTTGAAAAATTACGTTAGAAATTCCTCCGTAATAGATAAAAAATTAGCATCGTCGAAGGCTAAAGTAGCGTCGCAACGGAAGACGGAAGAGGGGAATAAAACGACTACTGTTGCTTCGTACGCCTTTGTATCTCTTGGTGTCCAGATAGAGCTCGGTGCCGGGTACCGGAGCGAGCGTGCAGGTGTAGGGATGCACCGCGAACAGAATCAGCTTGCCCACGCAGAGGACGATGCCGACCAACAGCCCGTACTCGACGTCCAGCAGGACCACGGTGGCGAAGGTCACCGCCCAGATTACGCCGTCCGATCTCTCCAGCTTCCAGAACCTCTTGAATTCCGTCACCTTCGTCAGCATGCCCTTCAGAGCTACCACGATTATGCTGGCTAGAACGCACTATTTGGAAAAACGTTGCTTCCGTTAGGGGTTATCGATCTTTCGCTTCGCGAGACGCGAACAACGTCCGAGCCGGTGCGAGCCGGTGTCGCGCTTCGAACTTCGAACACCGCGCGATCGGTCGAAAGCGAGAGTCGGCTTCTCCGCGATCGTTTAGATTTCGGTTGGTCGCGATTCTAGGCTTTGGAAAACATCGTTGCGGAGCGCGCCGACGTTCGATTCGCGAAACGAAACCCGCGTATCCGGTCGGCGATCGCGATAACGGAGATAACGAAGAAAGATTTCGCTTACCCGAGGCAGAGGCTCGAAGAAGGGGCCGATCCAGAGGAGAACGCTGACCAATATGCAGCAGGAGATCAAGCTGGCCAGTTGAGTGCGTCCTCCGACGGTCTGCTGGATCAAGGATCTGGAGAGCGAGGCGGTGAAAGGCATGCAGGAGAAGAAGGAGCCGACTAAATTACCGATGCCCTGAAAACCATCGCGTCGAATCGGGATCAACGTCGCGGATCAACGTCGCGGATCAACGCGGCCAAGGAGCCGGCCTTGTCCGATCGAAGTCGACTTCGGCGAACTAGGCCGGCTGTAATCGCGGAATTTTTTTAGGCGGCGTCTGTCCCAGCGGCTCGTCGTTGGTCGACGAGTGGAACGGATTCTTCTCGCTTCACGGCCCTCGCCTCTCGCCGATAAAGATCTTCGACGGAGATACCTGGAATCGTCCGCGAGAGATTCGATCGATCGAACTCACCTGCGCGGCCAGTTCCTGGTTCGAGTCCACCTCGTAGCCGCACTTCTGCGCGAAGATGAGCGCCATGGACATCGAAACGGTGTAGGACACCATCGTGATCACGAAACTGTCGATCAGGATGTTCGGCACCAGGGCCAGCGGCGGCAACGTCGGTGCCGGCAAGCTGCGGAAAAAAGCGATCGTCTTCTATTCGAAGGTTTCCGCGTCTCGTCTCCCCGTCTCGCCTTCCGGGAGAATCGTTAATTACCCGACTGGTATGTGGCCCACCGTCGCGACGCCGTAAGCCTCCTCGAGGTTCGCGTATACCGCGAGCACCGTGCCGATCACGACCGCCAGCATCTCTATGGGAATCGGGAACGGGCTCAGTTTGGCGACTCTCGGCTGTGGAGAAAACGATCGATTTCATCTTTTCGATCCGCGATCGTTCGCGCGATTCTCGTTATCTCGACGATAGCCAGTGTTCGAACCAACCTTTAGAACGTTGTTGACGACGAGAACGACGATCGTCACCGAGGAGAGCGCGACGGCGATCGGGTTGACGCCGTTGATGTTTTTCAAAACGTCCACGTAAGTCTGAAAAAGTCGCGATTCGATCGAGTACGAAACGAAACGAAACGAGACGAGACGAGACGAGACGAGACGAGACGAAATCTTGATCGCGAGGCTCGACGCGCGAAGCGTACGCGGGGGCATAATTTTAGGCGAGGCGATAAATTTCAAGGTAGCGGAAAGATCGGCGAGTCTCGTCGCGTTCCCCGAGAAGAGAGATCCGATAGCAGCGGACTCGCGCGCCTCGATAAAAGAGGCGTTAGATAACTCGGGAATTCTATCCGGCGTTCGAACGGTCGCCGTCCGTTGCCGCGGAGAAACGGCGGTAGATTACGTTTCCCGAATAGACTAGCAATCGTCGACACGGTTGCGCGCGGTTCGATCGGTCGATCGGTCGATCGGCGTATTTGGCCCGAACGAACGAAAGTGGAACCGGCGAGCCGCGTTATCAGCCGCTTTTACTTTTTAATCGTTGCGCGTTCGAACGGACTCTTCGTCGAAACCGAAAGCGCGCCTCCAGCGCGACGGGACGCGATCGAGCGTTCGGGCTCGCGGCGAACGATCGATCCGTCGCGCGTTTCCGATGTCGCTTCCTCGCGTCGGCCGAGACGGAACCGTGTTCCGTCCCTCCGTTCGATCGATCGATCGACATCGTCGGCGAGCGAACCGATACCTTCTCCGCGATTTCGATTTTCTCGAAGATAGTAATTTCCAAGTTCCGTAGGGGGGAAAAGTTGCGATTTTCAGGCTTCCAACGTTAGCGGTAGCGATACCGATACAGCGGACCGGGCACGCGCACGTTCGCGACGCGCCAGTAAGTTCCACCAGGGAGCAAACGTTGTTATCGCGTGGAAAAGTTCGAGCTTCGTACTCGTTCCAGAGCCAACGTTACCTTCGCCGTTAACGAGCGTTACCAGCCTCGATCGTTTTCTTCGCGATGCATATGCATACGCGCGTACGCGCGTCGCGCGTACGCGGTACGAATACGCGATGCGCGCGCGCGCGGCTCGGCGATAAAAACTGTGCAAGATAATTGAGCGATAAGCGTTCCCTAACGTTTTCTATTCGTTTGCGCGCCGTTGCGCCGAGTCTCTATTTACGGAGGCAGGAAACGTTCGTTCGTCGGCTGGCCGCGCGACCGGCGCGACCGATCGAACGCGTCGAATAAACGGGGACGAGTTTCGCTTCGACGATCGTCCTCGGACTAATCGCTTCGAATTTACGATCGCGTCTAGGAGCGGATCGCGGTCGACGCGCTACCGATGAACCGAACCGAACGCGTCGGCCGTTGGCGTCGCACGAATTCGTACGTTCGCCTACCGAGAAACACCGGTTTGCCTTTAAATTCCATCGACCGACGACCGTTGATCGTCGACCGATGCGGCGATACCCGCGGGATTCGTCGATTCCACGACTACCGGCGCGTCGATGTAACCTTGAAAAAAATCATTCCACGGTCGTGTACAGTCTTTTCTATCGGATCGTCTCTGCCGCGCGTCCGACCTCGTACCCGAATGAACTTTCTCCGGAGAGAACCGAAATTCTCGTCGAATCGGTGAAAGGACGAAGATCGGGCTCACCAGGATCACTTTGAAGGGTCCCTTTCTTTTGGGCAGGCCCTTCAGACCCAGCAAATCCTTGACCTGCGACGTGAAAACGTGAATGGCGGCGGCGGTGGTGAATCCGCTGACGAGGCTGTCCGAGAGAAGGGTGGCGATGATCCCCAGCCGCAACGCGTACATCCCTATCTGCGGAATCGACCGCGCGTCGTGAAACGAGACGTCGCGCGCGTTCGAACGAACGCGAACGCGAACGCGAACGCGGCCCTCGATTCTCGGGCCGAGGGCACGAGGACGAGCAACGCGCAATTACCTGTACGACGGCGACGGTGAACGTGACCGCGGTCGCGACTTGCACCGGTGAATATTGATCGGCGACGGGGTTCGGCGGCTCGTTCGCTCCGGTCCCGTTGCCGAGGACGAGGCCGAGGCCGAGGCCGGGGCCGGGGCCGTCGGTCTGCGAGCTGTAAGTCGTCACCACTTTTCCGGTCATCATGCAGATCAGCGCAAACGTGCCTTCACACGGAAGAAATAATTGCTCTTCAGAATAATCGTCGCTACTTACGACGTAATCGTCGGCGGTGCGTAATTATCGGGTAGGAACGGTCGTTCGTCTTCGCGGTAGTCGACGAACGTGGAAATAGAAATCGTTCGACGATTTGGGACTCCTGGCGGGTTTACGATTTACAGCCTGGTCGAATCTGCAAAATGCACCGAACCGCGTACCAGCCGAACGGTTCGTTCGGTTTTCGAAAGATTAGGACCTCGGAGCCGCGGCGCGCGACCTTCGACCGTGCACGATCGCGAGTATCCGGAATCGACGTCGATCGTTCCGTTTCGGCCCGTTTCGGACCGTTTCGAATTCCGTCCGTTCGCCGGAGTATCGGGGTATCGGGCCATCGGGGCCACGGGTCGTCGGCGTATCGCGGTATCGGGCCGTTATCGTTTTCCGATCGATCGGTCCGAATCGACCGCGAGCGTGGACCGAGATGAAATTTTCTACGAACATCGAGAAATCTTGCGAAGTCGGCGACACACCGCGTTCCGCGAGGACCGATAGACGAGTTCGTGGAACGAATCGTTCGAGCGGATTCGAAGCGAGATAAGAACGCGAAGGTTTTCGCTTTCGAAACTTCCTCCGACGCGAACGTCGAAGCGGACTGGAATCGCTGTTGTTCCGCGTGTTCGAATGTTTTTCAGAGCACTCGGACTAACCCGCGAACTTGTAATCTCGCGTCGGTGTTGTCGGTCCGTAATCGGCACGCGCGTCCGCAAATATTTGATAGGAAGTAGTCGGAGATGCGGTCGATAAAAGGAGGAAAAGAGGGAGAAGAAGGAAAGAGGGAGAGGAGAGGAGAGGAAAACGGGAAAAGGGCGGTCGAGAGCGAAGCGGAAATTACGACGTTCGACGGATCGTTCGGAAAGATGGAAAATTCTTCGAAGATATTCTTCGAAGCGGTATTCGCTGCGATTCGCGGACTCTGCGCCATCGTGCCAAAAATATCGCGCGACCGGTAACGATCGACGAAGATCGCGCGAATTTTTACGCGAAACGAGCTTCGTCCGCGTCGGTCGTAACTTTAACGCTCCTCGAACAAATTTGCAACTTTACGGGGAAAATACCGTCCCGGCGAGAGTTCGTCGACGGGGAGATCCCCGAAGGCGAAACGCGTCGATCGCTTACCCATGGAATTGTGCCTGGACGTGCCGAGGAAGAAGTAAACGAGGACGGGGAAGAAGGCCATGTAGATGCCGACTATCGGCGGCACGTTGCCCAGGATCGCGTACGCCATTCCTGTCGGGCAATCGTTTTAATCGACGAATTCGTCAATTTCGGAACCTCTTCCGTCCTCCGCGACCGATAACTTGTTCTAGCTTATTTATTCCGATGCGGAAAAATCTTGCTACCTTGAGGTATGTGCATCACCGCGACGGTGATTCCAGCGACGACGTCGCCCAGGATGTCGTTCTTCCAATCGTAGTTGGACAGCCAGCCGATCAGAGGCACGGCATTCCTCAGAGCCAGCAGCGGCTGCACCTTCTTGCATCTCGCGGAGATGCTCCGCAAAACTGTAACATCGACCGCTCTCGCATTTTCGCCCGGTCCAGTCACCGGCTTGGTTGCTCGGTTACCGTCCGAACTCGGCGATCGGAGTTACGCGAGTCCGTCTTCGTCGGACGCTCGAGACTCTTCGGGGTCTCCGGTGTTTTCGGGGACTTTGAGAAGCGCGCATCTCGGATCGATTCTATTTTCCACGGTCCTTGGAGAGGCTCGAGACCGATTCGAGTTTCTAGAGACGAGCGAACCTCCCCCTCCCCTCCTCCACCGGCGTAGTTTCGACCGCTAAGATTTCAACGTCGATCCGGACGCCGGTCTTTTTATCGCGTTCGACGCGCCTCGTTCGTCGGGCTCGACGAAGCCAAAGACGCGGACGATTCTAAAACCGTGAGAGATATTTAACCGGGCGACCGGCGTCGCGGAGCAGCGGAATCGCGAACGAACCGAATCTTTTCGATCCATTGTCCACAGACGGTTTCTGTTTGGACTAGATAAGCGAGGCTCCATCCTGCCGGGAACGACGCGGACCAGCCGATCAGAATTAAGTCGCGTCGCGCCACTCTCGAACTCCAGACTCCAGACTCCGGACAGTGGTTTCGCAACGCGCTTCGCGATACTCACGAGTTTCCTTCGGCTTGACGTATCTGAACAAATGATTCAGCTCGTCCTGACGATAGACCGGTCGCCTCACCGTTAATTCCGGCGCGGTCGCCGACATCTCGTCGCTCGGATAATCTGCGAACAATTTGCGTTAACCGGTCAGAGTTTGGCCGAACGTCTTCGAACGTTCTCGCCGAACGACGCGCGACGGCATCTTCGGATCTCCGCGCGACCTCGCGCGGCCTTGCGATTTCTTATCGGCGCGACGGCCCGCTCGAATCGGGGAGCACGAACCGTCGTTCCGAAGAAAACTCTTCGGCCTTCGAATCGTTTAACTTCGAATATAACATTTTTTTGCGCAACTTTTTCAACCAGGCATCTCGGAACGCGTCGGAGAAATCGGCGGCTCGACCTTCCGACGAACGCGTTTCTCGGACGCGCGAACTGGTCGGACGCCAACGTCTCGCGAGAGCCTCGACTCGTGACCTAAAACAACAGCGTTGACGCGTAACGCGCGTTTATCGAATGCGGAAAGCGGCGTTGATATACGGGGTGGTTTCGAAGAAGGATCGCGCGACCGACGAGAATCGGCGGGAAATACGAGCAGCTGCGCGCGAGCGACGCGCGATCGAACCGGGGCTGAAACGCGGCGTTCAGAGTCCAGATTCCTACGCGTTGCACGGGCGCGACGCGTGGCGCGTGGCGCGTGGCGCGTGGCACGTGGCGCGAGGGTCTTTCTCAGGGACCGCTGGAAAGCGCCCCCGAGCATCGCGCTCGATTCCGCGAATCCTCGGCGAACCGAGGATTGAAAGTAGCTATTCGAATAAAGATCGGCGGCGCGATGCTTTCTCTTCCCTTTCGAGGACAGAGAGGGATAGGGAGAGAAAGAGAGCGAGAGCGAGAGAGAGAGAGAGAGAGAGAGAGAAAGAGAGAGGAGGAATGGAGACAATGGACACGTTACGCGCGACAATTATTTCACCTCGTGCACGATTTTCTTACGGCAACATTACCGATCAACTTTACGTTTTCGTCGCTTGGATCGTTTTTATCGTTTTCACGGTACGAACGTCGACGATGTACGAACGTTCTCGTTAGGCGGTCGCGACGTAGCGCGTCGTAGGTACGAGCGACCACCGATCACTGACCACCGACTACCGACCACCGACCACCGACCGTGGAAAGTAAAATTCGAACGGTCGGAAGTCGGGAGCCGGGAACCGGCGGGCGGGCAGATGATTCACGACGTTGATAATAGCGGCGCGCGATATCGTCGCGATACGACGCGACGAGAACGCTTCGAATTCGAACCTCGTCGCGAATCGTATCGCGAGTATCCGATGTAACGAACTTATTCGACGAAGCAACCGAAATTGCCGAAGAAGATAACGGTGACGCGTCGAACGTCTTTCCCGTTGCGACGCTCGCGATCGGCCGCTAGATTCGCGAACGCGGACGCGCGAAACTATTCTCGACCTACCGGCGATCGTTCGACGAGACTCTCGTCGACCGTATCTTATCGAAAGCGAACTTAAAGATACTCCTTCGAATAGCGAGCTTAAAAAAAAAATTGATCGCATCGGCGACCGCGAGGCCCGTCGCTCGCGTCTCGAGCGCGGTTTCGTATTCGGGATCGCGGCCTCGCTTTTCCTCTTTCGAGCGCGTCCTCGATGTTTCGATCGACTCCCAAACTTCCTTTCGTCTCGAACGAAAAACCGGTCGGAGCCGATTTCTACCTCGATACCGCGAACAACGAACCCTCGTCGTCGTCGTCGTCGTCGTCGTCGTCGTCGTTTCTCGTACTCGAGGAACGCAACGACGAAGACGCTCCGATCGAAAAAGTCGAATCAGCGATAAAAATTCAAGAAGAAAACCTGTCATGGCGAGGTAAGGCAAAGTTGCGAGCCGTCGATGGACCCAAAACCCAGACGCAGGTCGTCGCGTCGTCGGGCGACGAGCGGAGAGCACCGAGAGCGGAGAGCAGCGGGCAGAAGGCGGAAGGCAGGAGGCGAAGGGCGGCGGATCGAGCGCGAGAGTAGCGGCGGCGTCGCGACGTCTATCGCGGACCAACGAATCGAACGTAATGAGAGCGAACGAATCCGGTACGGGACGACGATGACGACGACGAAGACGACGACGACGACGGGAGCCGCTGCCGTTCCTTGCATCTCGTCGGGCTTACGTAGTCACGTGTCGACCGATCCAAGTATAAGCCGAGACGGCGAAACCGATCGGCGAGACGGAGACGGAGACGAGACTAGACGAGAGGCGCCGCGACGCGGCCAAAGGCACCGTATCTTCGTCCGTACGTACCATTGTCTTCTTCGTAGATTACAATCTATAGTCTATGCAGGCTACCCCTCTGTACTCTATACTCTATTCTCTGTACTCTGCATACACGGTATATAGTGTACGCGTACACGGTATAGGATGGCAGCGACGTCGACGCTGTCAAAGTCGCCCGAGCGACGGTTGTCGCAGCGACCGCCTAGCGCGCTCGGCCGACCGCTCTCTCGGTAAGTGAAATCGACGCGCGATCCGCGAGCGACCCGTCGATCTTCTCCGAGACCGTCGAATCGCGCGCGTTTTCGGCGATTCCGAACGAAAGCTACGCGGCTTCTCGAAAACCGTTCGAGAGGCGTATTCTCGATCGCCCGATACTCGCGCCGTCTCGAAGCAGAAAAGGAACAGAGAACGCGGAACTCGGCACCGTTTCGCGCGGCCTTGTCTTCGAGAATCCCGAGAAGCTGAAAGAGCTAGGAAACAGGAGCGATCTTATCGCGAAACGGCAACGAGAAACTCACTTGGCGGTAATCGCGGCAAGATTGCCTCGGTTATCGGGATCGATGGCGTATCGCGCGTCGCCCGTCGCAGCTTCCAGCGATCGCGACCGACAGGATCGAGGCGTCGCTCGACGTCGATCGTTCCGAACACTCTGATCCGGCTGGATCCGAATCGGCTGGGAGGCCGCGTCGTACGGATTTCGAACAACTTTCTATTTCTATCCCGCTGCACCCGGCGACCGGTGCATCGCGAAGGCGGTCCCGTTCGCGACTGTCGCGTTTCCCGGACCGCGAAAACGACGAGAACGCGCGTTCTCTCTCCGAATTAATCTCTCTCGAACGCGTCGTCGCGCGTCGTCGCGCGACGTTCGCGTACGCCCGCGTACAGGTATCGTTGAAATTTCACGATCGCGAACATAAAACGGTACCGTGCATCGCGGTTCTCGATAATTTATGGGCGTAACGCCCCTTATCTGCCGCTGCTACCGTTTCGATAACGGCGTCGCGTCGCGCCGACGAAATCGTCGGTTCCGAGTAGCGCGCGCGACCTCCCGATTTTCCATCGGAAAAACGAAACGTTTCGAAGCGAGGTAACCGGAAGTTACGGGAATAGAATCTTCGAACGGAAAGAAGAAACCGCTGCGATTTCGTAGAAAAGAAATCGTACGATTCCTTCGTCTCTCGAAACATTCGGTAACGTTTTTTCGCGATCGAGTTTTTCTTAATCCCTAAGCCGCGCGGGAAGACGATGGATCGCGAAAACGGAAGGTCGAAACTCGCGAGGGTCCGAGGATGCCGCGATTCGATCGGAACGATCGGTTTCGAGCAGTTTCGTCCGTTCGATCGCGAGATCGTCCGTCGAACGAATTTCGGAGAAAAGCCGTCGAGCGAGTAGCCGAAACGGTCGACGAAAGGATCGGGCGAGAAGCGATGGAAACAATTTCGGCGTTCGTCTCCGAGACGAACGACTTCCGAAGCGCGAATTGTCGCGATCGTATCCGCGTACCTATCGTTGCCCGCGACGATACGCATCGATTCGTTCGTTACGCGCCGGTTCGCGATCGTTTTTCCCGGCGCGATGCATCCGAAGCGACGACGTTCCGCCGCCGTTCTTTGCTCGTTTACGTTCGAATCGGAAATCGGATGCCCGCGCTTCCTCGTTCGCGCAACGAATACGTCGCGCGTTCGCGTTTGCTGCGAATTTGACGCGTTCGGGATAGGGCGAGATAACCGCGAGTTCGCCGTTGTCTCGCGACGCGCCGTGAAGAGACAGAGCCGGCCATCTCTGAGCGAGCGACGAAGGTTACCGAAACCGCTGAGTCGTCCTCGTTGTCGGGTGTCGGGCGGTAATTGATGCTTCTTCGGAAATCGGCAGTCGCCTCTCTCTCTCTCTCTCTCTCTCTCTCTCTCTCTCTCGTTCCCACGGCGTAATCGTAGATAATGTATACGCAGATGCGCATCGGTCATCCGCGTCGAGTCCAAAGTCGTTCTGTCGAGTAACGTCCAGCTGCAACCGGCCGATCGGTTTCCCGCGTTCGTACCGTGTTTTCTGCCGTGCTCGAATCGATCGTAAACGCGACGCTCGCGTATCGATCGAAGGTTGATTTTTGTTCGTTGCGCGGGCGAGATCGTATCGCAGAAAATACCCGCTCCTATTTCCCAAGCTCCTTCCGCCTCCGAACGCGTGATATATTTTACGGTCGCGGCTGCTCGAACGTTGGTTCTCGCCGCGCGCGACAAGCATCGTTCGACTTTCTCGATCGCGGTTCGTCCGACTCGTTGCCAGATTTTCTTCCTCGACTCGCGCGACGTTTCGCGATCGGATCGCGCATAGGACGAGATCGCGTCGCGCGGACGAAGTCCAGTTTTTTTTCTCCCGCGATCGTGGACGCAAAAAGTTAACGGGTGTCGCGTCGGGTCGACGCGACAGCGGGGAAAGGTACCGCCATGGGGAATCGGCGCGAAAACCGACGCGGACGACCGCCGGTCCGGTCCAGTCTGCCCGGAGCACCGGATGCGGGTAGCGGATACGACTCGTCGCTGACAAAATAGGCGGTGTCGAACGATGAAGGTTGTACCCGCGTTCTTGTTCGTTCTACTGACGACGCGAGTTCGCTGTTACGGACACGGTGGAACGGCCGTTGTTCGAACGGCCGTCGTTCGAACGGCGTCCGGACCGGTGCGAGGCTACGTCGAGCAAACGCAGTTCAGGAATCTCGACTATTCCATCTTCAAGGGAATCCCTTTCGCCGAACCGCCGCTTGGAAATCTCCGTTTCAGGGTAAGGTCGAACAACGAGTTTCGATTTCTCCGATTCGATTTCTCCGATTACGGATTTCGTTACGATTTTCATCGGCACGCTGTTCCGCCGTTCCGATTTTTCTTTTTTTACCGTATACGTCGCCCGCGGATCTTCGTGCTTCTTCATCGATGAATTCTATCGCGTCCGAAACTTTCTAGTCGATGCGAGAAATCTTCTTCCTCTTCTTCTGCTTTTTCTTCTTCTTCTTTGTTTTTTTTTTTGGGAATATTTCGAAAGCGGTCGAAGAAAATGAGAATTTCGTTAGAAAACGATTCGGGATTCGAACGAACGTTCGAGCTCCTCGATTCGTCGGCGGCTCGTCGGTCGACCGGCCAGCGAGCCAGCGAGCCGTGGAATCGTGGAAATTGATTTTCTATCGACGCGACAGGCTCCGGTACCGATCGCGCCTTGGACCGAAGTGCTCGACGCTACCGAGGAGGGTCCGATTTGTCCGCAAATCGACAAGTTGATCCGAAGGGCTCTCGCGCCCACGGGGGACGAAGATTGCTTGCGCCTGAACGTCTACTCTCCAGCGGTAAGAATCTCTGCAACCGTTCGTAACCGATTCGCGAACGATACCGGAAACTTTTTTTTACCGACGTTCGACGATTTTTCGCCGACTTTGGTCTTTTGAAATCTGACAAACGCGCGTATCCGCGGCAAGAGTCGGTCGTTCCGAGTTATCGATCTCGTCGTTCTCTCGTCGATTTCGGCAGCTGAACTTTGAATCGAAGACGAAATATCCCACCATGGTGTTCGTTTACGGGGGCGCGTACGTCGAGGGATACAAAGACCAGGTGCTCTACGGACCGGATCTTTTCATCGAAGAAGGCGCGATCGTGGTCACCTTCAATTACCGTCTCGGCGTTCTAGGTACGCGAGCTCGGCTCGTTAGGAACTATTCGTCGTCGTCGAAAGCAGCTCGCGGATCTCCTGTTTTCCTCTCTTCTCCGTTTTGTAGGTTTTCTGAGCCTGGGAATACCGGAAGCGTTGGGAAACGCGGCAATGAAGGACCAAGTCTTGGCGTTGAAATGGGTGCANTGCTTCTTCGGAAATCGGGACTCCTCTCTCTCTCTCTCTCTCTCTCTCTCTCTCTCTCTCGTTCCCACGGCGTAATCGTAGATAATGTATACGCAGATGCGCATCGGTCATCCGCGTCGAGTCCAAAGTCGTTCTGTCGAGTAACGTCCAGCTGCAACCGGCCGATCGGTTTCCCGCGTTCGTACCGTGTTTTCTGCCGTGCTCGAATCGATCGTAAACGCGACGCTCGCGTATCGATCGAAGGTTGATTTTTGTTCGTTGCGCGGGCGAGATCGTATCGCAGAAAATACCCGCTCCTATTTCCCAAGCTCCTTCCGCCTCCGAACGCGTGATATATTTTACGGTCGCGGCTGCTCGAACGTTGGTTCTCGCCGCGCGCGACAAGCATCGTTCGACTTTCTCGATCGCGGTTCGTCCGACTCGTTGCCAGATTTTCTTCCTCGACTCGCGCGACGTTTCGCGATCGGATCGCGCATAGGACGAGATCGCGTCGCGCGGACGAAGTCCAGTTTTTTTTCTCCCGCGATCGTGGACGCAAAAAGTTAACGGGTGTCGCGTCGGGTCGACGCGACAGCGGGGAAAGGTACCGCCATGGGGAATCGGCGCGAAAACCGACGCGGACGACCGCCGGTCCGGTCCAGTCTGCCCGGAGCACCGGATGCGGGTAGCGGATACGACTCGTCGCTGACAAAATAGGCGGTGTCGAACGATGAAGGTTGTACCCGCGTTCTTGTTCGTTCTACTGACGACGCGAGTTCGCTGTTACGGACACGGTGGAACGGCCGTTGTTCGAACGGCCGTCGTTCGAACGGCGTCCGGACCGGTGCGAGGCTACGTCGAGCAAACGCAGTTCAGGAATCTCGACTATTCCATCTTCAAGGGAATCCCTTTCGCCGAACCGCCGCTTGGAAATCTCCGTTTCAGGGTAAGGTCGAACAACGAGTTTCGATTTCTCCGATTCGATTTCTCCGATTACGGATTTCGTTACGATTTTCATCGGCACGCTGTTCCGCCGTTCCGATTTTTCTTTTTTTACCGTATACGTCGCCCGCGGATCTTCGTGCTTCTTCATCGATGAATTCTATCGCGTCCGAAACTTTCTAGTCGATGCGAGAAATCTTCTTCCTCTTCTTCTGCTTTTTCTTCTTCTTCTTTGTTTTTTTTTTTGGGAATATTTCGAAAGCGGTCGAAGAAAATGAGAATTTCGTTAGAAAACGATTCGGGATTCGAACGAACGTTCGAGCTCCTCGATTCGTCGGCGGCTCGTCGGTCGACCGGCCAGCGAGCCAGCGAGCCGTGGAATCGTGGAAATTGATTTTCTATCGACGCGACAGGCTCCGGTACCGATCGCGCCTTGGACCGAAGTGCTCGACGCTACCGAGGAGGGTCCGATTTGTCCGCAAATCGACAAGTTGATCCGAAGGGCTCTCGCGCCCACGGGGGACGAAGATTGCTTGCGCCTGAACGTCTACTCTCCAGCGGTAAGAATCTCTGCAACCGTTCGTAACCGATTCGCGAACGATACCGGAAACTTTTTTTTACCGACGTTCGACGATTTTTCGCCGACTTTGGTCTTTTGAAATCTGACAAACGCGCGTATCCGCGGCAAGAGTCGGTCGTTCCGAGTTATCGATCTCGTCGTTCTCTCGTCGATTTCGGCAGCTGAACTTTGAATCGAAGACGAAATATCCCACCATGGTGTTCGTTTACGGGGGCGCGTACGTCGAGGGATACAAAGACCAGGTGCTCTACGGACCGGATCTTTTCATCGAAGAAGGCGCGATCGTGGTCACCTTCAATTACCGTCTCGGCGTTCTAGGTACGCGAGCTCGGCTCGTTAGGAACTATTCGTCGTCGTCGAAAGCAGCTCGCGGATCTCCTGTTTTCCTCTCTTCTCCGTTTTGTAGGTTTTCTGAGCCTGGGAATACCGGAAGCGTTGGGAAACGCGGCAATGAAGGACCAAGTCTTGGCGTTGAAATGGGTGCAGCGGAATATCGAGAAATTCGGCGGCGATCCGAGGAACGTGACGCTGTTCGGCGAAAGCGCCGGATCCTCTTCGGTCATACTGCACGAACTGTCCCGTCGGTCGGAAGGTGATCGAATCCTGAATACGACGGAGCCTCGATCGTCCGATCCGCGCTCGACGATCGAGGCTCCGGATCGATTCGACGACGATGTTCCGCTTCGTTCCCGGGCAACGTCGGACGACGCGCGTTTCGATCTCCGGACATTTTCCTAAATCCTAAAATCGTTGTCCGAGGTTCGTAAAAGCGTCGTCGGCGCTCGCGAACGAGCATCTTTCGGGGGAGCGTTGCGAAACGACGTTGAATCGAATCGTGGTTTCGTCGTCGACAGGCCTCTACCAGAAAAGCATCGGTCAGAGCGGCGCTTCGCTGTTCTACCTCTATCAATCGCCGCGGAAGGCCCTCGTGGCCGCGCGCCTCTTGGCGCGCGTCCTCGATTTCGACACGCCCGACAAGAAGAAACTGTTGCGATCTTACTTGAGAGCCAGCGCGTACGATCTCGTCAAGGCGACCAGCAATATGTACCTCTTCCCGGACTACGTAAGACCGTAACCCGCGAACCCGTTGGGCTTCGAGTTTCGATGCCGCCGCTGCCACGATGGCGGCGGTGTGGAATCGTGCTCGGGGAGTCGATCGGTAATTTTGAACGTCGAATGCCGCAGCTGACGAGGCCGTTCCTGCCGACCGTGGAAGACGCGTCCGTAGCCGGCAACGACGCTGTTTTTCTCGACGAGTGCCCCATCTCGTTGATGACGATGGGCCGGATACGCGAGGGACCGAAGATGTTGGGCTTCGTGAGAAACGAAGTATTGGCGTTCTTGAATGGCAAGTGTCGCGTCTCGCGCGATGGTACGGTCCATCGTCCGCGCCGATGTATACCGCGCGCGCGCGCGAACACGCCGGTCCGCGATTTCTCTCACGGGAATTTTTTCTTACAGAACTCATCGATCGTTCGAAGATCGCGGTGCCCGATGTTACGGCGCTGGTCTCGTACGTGCGGAGCCTCGCGCAGGTAATTATACGCGTAATTATACGCTCGGTTCCGCGGGTCCACTCTCGCGGCAAGGTATTTTTTTACGCGTCTCTTGTTCCGAGCGCAGTTCGTCTCGAACGTCAGCTACTCCGCCGAGATCGACCTCACCCAAAGATTCTTCGCTGCGCACAACGGCGATCGTCCCGTCTATTATTACCTAATGACGTACAAAGACTTTCCGCGTCACTTGCTCACTCCGTATCAAGGGAACGGTAATTATCGCGCGGACGGATTCGAAGCATGTTCCAGTTTCCATGCTCGCCGGATCGTAATCGACGTTGACTTTCAGTTTCCACTCACGGCGACGACATCGCTCTTCTGTTCGTTTCTCGAGAATTCGGGATCGCCGGTTCGACCGATCCGAACGATCGCCTGAGCATCTTCAGACGCCGTTTCGTCCGGTTGTGGGTGAACTATGCGAAGCACGGGTACGTTGAAACGTATTTTTCCTCCGATCGAGGCGTGCCGCGCATCTTTCGCCTCGCGCCTTGCTGAAATCTGTCGTTTTACGTTCGCAGGGATCCTACGCCCGCGTTTGCCAATCCCATCGACGTGGTTTGGGAACCGTCGGGAGCGCTCGGACGACAGCTCGACATCGGCTCGTCGTTCGAAATGAGAAACCGAGCGTTGAGAGACTCCCTTCCCGAGATCTTGTTCTACTTGCTCCTACCGAATGTCTCCGGCTGCCACAAAGTTTCGTACGAAACGTCGTACGATCAACTTTTCCGCAACTGAAGCATCTCTGGAATCGTCAACGGCCGAAACGCTGGTGTAGTCGAGATATCGTCGACCGATTCTGCCAACACGTTCGGGATTCGGGACTCGGGACTCGGGATCCGGCGTATCTCGCGGCGCGCGACGGATGCGCCTTAGACGTCGTACAGGAAAGCGGTTCAATTGTCAGAGCGATATTTATTATTTTGCCGATAAATGTTTTTACGCGTCAAGCGTAATTGTTATTTTCATTTGAAGAGGACACTCAGGAGGCCCGACGCCTTGGTCGTGGACTCGGCGGAGGAAGCCGACAAATCGCAGGCGGTTTCCGAGGGCAATCTCTCCTTCAGACCGTCCTGGTAGGTCGCCGTCAGCATGTCGATCGCGCGCTCTCTCACGACGGCGTCCTCGTTGATCTCCAGTTGCGCACCGGTCGCCGTGCTGTCGGGCCAGATCACGTCGAACGCGTGTCCCTTGGTTTTCACGTTGCGCGGCGTTGGATTTCTACGAGAGAGGAAACGCAGATTTAACCTCGAGACCGAGCGGGCGGACCCGCGCGAGCGCGTCGCGCGGCGTCGCGCGGCGTCGCGAAACGAATCGAAAAATAATCTTGCCCGTATTTAGCGAAGTTCGCCCACAAGGTGACCATCTTCTTCCGGAACACGTTCAAGGGATGCTCGGGATCCTTCGGCGCGTTCAGTTTTTCAACGTTGAACAGGTAGCCGACGTCGTCGACGTGAGCGGTTCCTGAAATCGCAAGCGTTACTCGCCGTTCTCCTCGGCTCGCGACGGATCGGATCGAGAAAAATATCGCGTACCGTTCACCGTGTCGCCCAACAACGAGTGCACGCTCCACGGCGTTCGATAAGAGAGCAGGTAATAATAGATGGGAAAACCGCCGTTGTCTTTCGCCATCAGTTTCTGCGTAAGATCGATGGGAGCCGTGAACATGGTGGCGGTTCCCAGATCGACGACGAGTTCCGTCAAGGCGTCGGGCGTCATGTCGATCATCATGGCGGTTACGCTGCCCAGCACTTGGTCCACGATTTTGTTGACACCCATCGCGTACCTCAGCAGCGTTGCTATCGACTGCGAATGCTTCCCGTCCTTGCCGACCATGTCTGCGAAACGAAAGAAGAAACGGTATGAATCGTCGAGTTACGTGCGTTTACGTACGCGAGAACGATCCGGTACTCACAGTTTATGAAGAAGAGACTCTCGTCCAAGGTGCGACCCATCATGACAGGCACCTTGTTGAACTTTCCGGACTCGAACAAATGTATGGGACACTCGGTCAAGAACGCGCTGCCATCGAGCGAGTTCTTAGGATTCTCGATCGTCGGTCTGAACGGCAAGAAACCCTGAAAGACGTTCGACCAACGGCTGAGCACGATTCGACGCGTCCCGACACACCTTCCTCCGGAGTGTTTCGAACGCCGATCGTTCGAACCGATAAACCTTTCAAAGTTCGCGCGCGTTCGGTAGCGAAAATCGCCGATCGTTCTATAGAATCGCAGCGAAATCGAACGAGTTTGGGATCGAACTTCGACAAGGCTCGAATTCCGATCGAATCGTCGTCGAGACGCGACTCACAACGTCCACTTGCAAGGTCGTCAAGACCATCTCCTTTATGGGAACACCGTGGAGGAACTCGAGCAATCCCTCGTCGCCGACTCCGTTGTAGCCGAGAATGGCGGCGAGATTTCGAGCGTTCACGTACGCCTTGTCGGGCGTGTGGATGCCCCATTGAGTCAGAGGTGTTCCGCTTTGCATGATCGCTTGTTTGAAGAGTCCTGAATCGAACGAAAGAGAGAAGCGTGCACGACCAACGGTTCTCGTCGGGAAGCAACCGGGGAAACCGGGGACAAGATTTTCTAGGCATTCGTCGACGTACCCTTGGATTTCTCCGACAGAAGGTGCAATCCGACGGAAGTGCCACCGGCGCTCTCGCCGAAGATGGTGATCCGGTCGGGGTCACCGCCGAAGGCCGCGATATTCTTGTGCACCCACTGCATAGCCAGAACCTGATCCTTCATCGCGGCGTTGCCCTGAGCATCGGGAAGATCCAACGCCAAAAATCCTAAAAATCGTAACCGTGACCGCGCGCGCGATCCTACCGAATCATCATCCCCCATCCCCGTCGAACCAATTTCGAGAAACGTTCAAACAGCTCTCGACCATACCTGGAGCACCGACGCGATAATTGAAGCTCGCGAAGACCACGTCCTCTTCGAGGAAGAAATCGGGCCCGTACAGGGAGAAGTTGCTGTATCCGGCGAAGAACGCTCCTCCGTAGATCCAAAGCATCACCGGTTTCAGTTGCGACGAGTTGCCGATCTGACCGTAACATCGTTTCGATAATTATTCTTACACAGAGTCCTCGCGATTGCCGATTGCCGGTTGCCGGTTGCCGGTTGCCGGTTGCCGCGGTTGCGGTTCTCTACGCGTCTTACCTCTCGGGTTGCCACGTTTACGGACAAACAGTCCTCGACCCCTATGTAATCGGTCGAGAAGAAGTCTATCTGCGCGCAGACCAATCCTTGCCGCGTAGCCTCGAAAGTTTTATTCCATGGCTCGATCGGAACCGGAGCCTGAAAATGCGCGAGAACCATGTTCAGCGCCTCGCGAACACCATTTCGATCCTTAACGAGTGGATCGGAAATATATGGAAGATCCTCGCGCGGTCCATCGAACGTTGTCTCTTACCTTGAATCTTAGGCTACCGAGCGGTGGTACCGCGTAGGGGATGCCCAAGAAGGCGTTGTAGGTGACGTTGTGCCATGGCGTCCGTTTCACGATACCTCTGACGGGTCCTGTGCTGGTCCGAACCACTTCCGTTCGAGGATACTCTTCTCCGAGACACAGCGCCGCCGACAACGCCGCTACGAGGACAATCTTCGTTACAGGAGCCATCGCGGTTCACCCGGGGACCCGATCCGATAATGCCCGCGATCGGGACACGCCCGGTTTTATACCCTGGGAACGTCGTCGCGAACGTCGTTTCCGTAGCCGTTGCCGTCGCGATCGCGTCGGTTGCACAGCTGGTTCGAACGCCGAGCACGATTGTTTTCCAGCCAGAAAATTGATCGATGCTGTTTGCCGATGGAAAAGCGATATATATTTTTTCGAAAATTGTCGTCATCGACACGTGGCAGCTGGCCCGACGACGGCGGACGCTCCGACCGAACGTTCGAATTATCGCGACCGATTATAACGATTCCGACGAAAATCGATCTAGGAGCGACGCTTGTTCCGGACCGCCGGACGGTCGTCGAGCAATTCTTTTTCGAGCATTTCGTTTTTATCGTTTCAACGACGATTTTACGATTATTAAAGTCTTTCGAATACGTACAAAGGAAAAGAAAGAAAGGAAGGAAGAAAAGGAAAAACGTTCGTACGCTGAATAGAACGCGTCGCGATAAAAATATATACGTATTTGTTCCTTGTTCGATTAAACCTGCCCATCTATTATCTATTACATAGAGTCGTTGAAACAGGAGTCGACACGATATCGTCGTATTCGCAAGAAACGATTTGCAACGGTTCGTCTTCGAACGATCCGAAAGCTTCGACGCGGTTTGCCGACAAAATGGCGGACGCGGGCGGCGGTCCATTTCTTTGGCGCGAGAAACCGTCGCCGGACGGGACAGCTTGCTTCCTTGAACGTTTCGTTCGATAAACCGCGCGCGCGCGCGCGTTCCGTGGACAATATTTTTTATTGCCAGGATCGAAAACGAATCGCTCGAATAATACCGGACGAAAAGATTTCCTGTTTTTTTTTTCTCGAACGAAATATCGTTGCGTCGATCTCGCAAGAATATTTATCGTATTCGATGGTTTCGTCGATGCACGCGGTACTATTATCAAGAATTCGACGTCAACGATAACGATTCGTTTCGCTGCCCATCGCGTTCCCCGTTTCATCGGTTAAATCGTACTTTAGAGTCGGAGGAAATACACGGCCAACGCGGCGATTCGAAATAATCTCGAGTACCGGCTAGCTACAAACTGTCTACGAGCAAACTGTAATTCCACGTATACGCGCGTACGCGTGCTACACGGTACAGGTGCTATTCTCCTAATTTAATTTTTAACCGCTGCTTTTTCTTTCTATATCGCGAACGAAGAGGTGAAAAGACCGTTCGATACAGTGGTTTCATCGTTAAATTGTTTCCATCGAAGGCGAACCGTCCTCGGAGCTTCCCTATTTTTTAGAAACGTTATCGACGGTGTAGCATCTGTACCTCGAAAAGAAATCCAAGTTTTAACGATGAGAAATACTCGAACTTCCGGCTAAAGATCGTTTAGATCGTTTCCGCTTAATCGAACGACCACTCCGTTTCTTCGGATATCGATGCGTAAATTAAACAACGAAGACGAAGGATTGGAACAGAAAGGAAAGAAACATTTATTTTGCGACAAACAAATTTATTGAATAACTTTGTAAGGTAGAAATCGAAGGCCAGAAATTGGTAACGCTCTCGGTAACGCTCTTCGGAAACGTATCCGAAGCCGTCGCTCGCGCGGCACCTACGCGGCAACGGAAGAAATAATATTTCATCGAATCGATCTCACGATCTCGCGACATTCGATGTTCCGCGTATACGAACTTTTTAATCGCTAGGCTGCGGATCTTCGCGCGAATCGACGGTTTCGCCGACCGAAACGTTTCCCGGGATAATAAACTAAAACGAACGAGTTCGCAACTTCGACCGATAAACGTTGTCCGTCGTTGAAAAAATGTTCGGACAACGCGCAAAGATCCGCAGTCCGATAATTATAACCGCGTGCCAGTCGCGATCGCGCTTACGTCGCTCGAATTCGGCGACGTCGGCGATTCTACGCGATTCCGAACGGTTCGTTCCGCCTGTACGAGTCCGACGCGCTTTCTTCGAGGACATCCCTCTTTCCTATTTTCGGAACGGAAGCTTTCGGCAAGCTTTCTCCGGCGTGCAGCAGATTGCTCGCGAGGTCTCCGCCAACGGGCAACGGCGATCCAACGTCCCCTTTCCCCGATGGGGGCCCCGAGACTGCTGGGAGAATCGAAGGCGCTGCTGGGAGAGTCGAAGGCGCTGCTGGGAGAGTCGAAGGCGCTGCTGGCGGCAGAGCCGCCGGTGTTCGACCGCCTGGATTCAGAATATCGAGCAGGTATTCCGCCAGTCGACGCAAAATTCTAACTGGCGCGAAATTCCAGAGCCAGCTCTCCGTCGATCGATCGAGTCGGACGTCGGTTGCTCCGCTGCTCGCGGCCGATGCTCGAGGAGCCGGCGCCGAAGCTTCGAGTCCCTGTCGCGTCGCGATGCCGGCTTCTGAAACGAGACGAGTTTCCGCTAGAAAAACCGTCCACGATTTACGCGCTTTCCGACGGACAGCGAGCGGACAATTCGGTACCTCGTCCGATCTCTCTCGTCACCGTGCACCGCGCCGACGACACCAAAACCCCGATCGCCGCGTACAGCAGAAATTTCATCTTCGCTCGCTCGCTTTTCGAAACGGAAAGAGTTCCGGGTTCCGCCGGTCGATCGGTTTATATAGCGTCGATCGAGGATGCGCGAACGTGGGTGCCTGGACAGGCCAGGGAAACGCTATCGTCGCGTCGATGCCAGCTGCGGGAGCTACGCGATCCGGACGTAATTTATCGCGTTTCGGCGCTCGATCGACGGGCGCAGCTTTCGCGCAAGATCAACGTCGACCGTAGAATTTTTGCAGGGGGGGGGGGCGAGTTTCGCGAAGCGAATCGAACGTGGTCCGCGCGAAGCACGAGCCTGTACGTATAGCGTATTCTTTTATTCCAGGTACCGTTGTACGTACACGAGACGAACAGATTTTCGGTGGCATTCTTTGGCAGGGCTCGAAGCGGAGAATAACGCGTCAAAGCTGCAATTTGAAGATGCCGAGAGGAATCAGCGACAAATCGATGCACGCCGATTGAAACGGAAGACGAGCGAACAAAGCTTCCTCGTAAGTCTGAGCGACGTAGTCGACCAGACGCGGTCGCATCACCGATTCCTCTTTGATATCCAATTGCATCCCCGATTCTGTGCTGTCCGTCCAAATCACGTCGAACTCTTCGTCGGTCCGACGGCTCGAAACCTTCGGCGTAGGATCTCTGAGAGAAGCAACAAGAATTTCGTGCTGTTTCAGTTCCAGCGTATTCCATTGGAATTGGAATTGGAATTGGAATTGAAATTGAAATTGGAATTCGACGTTACCCTTGCTTGGCGAAGTTCGTCCACAGCCTCACCATTTTTCTTCGGAAGATATTGAACGGATGTTTCGGGTCCGTCGGCGCGTTCAACGATGCCACGTTGAACAAGTCTCCGATGTCGTCGACGTGACCGGTCCCTGAAACCGCGAATCGCTCTAAAACGTTCTAGAAGATCGCGGAACTTTGCGCGGGTTCGAACGTTCCCAGGTTATCTCGCAAAAGCCGGATCGAGGAGAAAACTCGATTCGCCGAACGCGCGGGTGGGTGGTATGCGTCGACCTCTTACCTTTCACGGTTTGACCCACCAGCGAGTGAACGCTGTACGCGGACGTGTACGAGAGCCGGTAATAATAAATCGGATAACCCGAGTTCCATCTCGAGACGATTCTCTGAGTCAAGTCGATGGGTGCCGTGAAGAAGACGTCGGTTAACATAGCCAAAATCTGCTCGAGAAACTCGGGCGACGTCTGATCCAAGTTGAACGCCATCGCGTCGGAGATTCGATCGGTCAGGATCTCGTCGATGTTCGTGACTTGTCCGAGCCATTTCGACATCGTCTTGGCACGGTCCGACGGGTTGCCGACGTAGTCTGTCGATCGTGAAAATTCAGGGAGCCGTTCGCGCTTGCCAACGTTTTTACAGCTGGAGGGAGGGAGGAATCTTGGGAGACGAAAGAAAGAAAGAACGCCGATCGGCGACGAGGAAATAGTTTCGGGAACGGCGCTCACCGTCTAAGAAGAACAACGCTTCGTCGTGAGTGCGTCCCATCATCATGGGGTGCTGGGTAAAGTTGCCGGTCAGGTATTTCCTGATGGGGCATTCGGTCATGAACGCGCTGTCGTCGGTCGCAACCGCGGGATCCTCGATCGTCGGTCGGAACGGCAGCAGGTCGTTCTGAAAACGGTGAAAAATCGCAGGTTTCGTTTCTCTCGTCCCACGAATTTCTAGCGGAACGAACGAACGCGAACCGATCGATTTCGTCGGATACGCGCGCGTAGGGTAAGAGCCGGTAGTCGGGAAACGTTCGATATTACCAGATTAAGTTTCATCGCCTGGTTGACCAGAGCGTCCGCAGGAACGTCGCGCAGGAGCTCCAGCAAACCGGTCTTCGTGATCTCCGCTTTGCCCAGAAGCTGCGCGAGCTCGGCGGCGCTGCGGTAAGCCTCCGCGGGAGTATGGTACGCCCACTGGCACAAAGGCGTTCCGCTCATGCCGATCGATCGATGGAACAGCCCTGATTCGAAACAGACGCGTCGACGCGTTATCATCCGATTCCGATCCGGAGAAGCCGTCTTCCCCGAGACCGCGCGTTACCTATAGATCTCTCCGACAAAATGTGAAATCCTACGGAAGCGGCGCCCGCGCTTTCCCCGAAAATCGTCACTTCCCTCGGATTCCCACCGAAAGCCGCGATATTCTTCTGCACCCATTTCAGAACCAGATGCTGATCCTTCAGACCCGCGTTGCCCGAAGCGTCCGGATGGTCCAACGAGAGAAATCCTGCGAACGCGTCGAATTACCAGCCGATCGCCGAGAACGGTTCGACGGAGAGCCGCCTTCGATCGAACCGCGTACGTTCTTTCAAAGTTTTTTTTTTTTCAGCAACGAGCGAAACAGATTTCTCCTAAAATAACGCACGATCGAACGACGTACCTAGCGCGCCGATGCGATAATTAAAGCTGACGAAGACGACGTCCTCTTCGAGGAAGAAATCGGGCCCGTAGAAGCTCGCGTTGCTGTAGCCGGCCAGGTACGCTCCCCCGTAGATCCACACCATCACGGGTCTCGGTCCCGTTCCGTTTCGAAACTTTGTAACACACGATTTTTACGAATATTTCGATCCTCGCGACGCGCGATACGTTCGCGAATACTCGAAACCGAAGCTACGAACAGACCTTTCGACGTCGGCGTAGATTCCTCGAGGACTCGAATATCGATGCTGCGGCGCGTCGACGAACCTTCGCGTGTCGAGTGAACACGTTCAGGTACAGACAGTCCTCGTTGCCCGTGTACCGAGCCGTGAAGAAATCTATCTGCGGGCAGGCGTTGCCTTCTTCGACGGCGTCCAGCACCTCGTTCCACGGGCTGATCGGAACCGGAGGCTGATCGGCACGGACAGGCATGCGAGACAAACGTTCCACGTAACCCGTTCAAAGTCTTTCGTTTCGTATCGCGAACGCGATCTCTCCGCGCGCTTCCAATTCGGATTTCTTTCTCGCTTTTCGCGAGAAATTGAAATCGCGTCGAATCGTTCTCTTCTCGCGGAACGCGTTAATTTCGTTAGGGATTCGAACGTTACCTTGAATCTGAGATTCGCCAGGGGAGGTTCGGCGTACGGAATCCCCAGAAAGGCCGAGTACTCCACGGAATTCCATACCGTTTTCTTGATTACTCCTCGCACCGGCCCGCTCGCGGTACGAACCACGTCCGTTCGAGGAAGATCTTCGGCCAGACACCGCCTCGACGACGCCAACAATAAAATAGCTATTCGTATTCGATGCTCCAGCATGATCGCGACGCGACGCGACGGGATTAAAAGATTGCCGAAACGTACCGCTTATATACCGAGAACGCTGATCGAAATGTTTTGGTATCGTTCGTTACGCGCGGACGACTGTTGATCGTGCTGTCACGTTCCACGTTTCGCGTTTCACGTTGCGCGATCGGTCGATAGCGTTCATCGGGCGAAGCGAAAAATTTTGGCGATACGAGCGTCGCGCGATAGGAGAATTCCAGACGCCGACCTGTATGGAATTCCGCGAGGAACGGTCCAAATCGGAATAACGTTTTATAATATACGATATAACATTTTACGAACTTATTATGGACGAACCGTGCCAACGACGCGCTGGGTTAAGAAACTCGTCTCGCGCGATGCATAGATGCCCCCCCCCCCTCCCCCGACCAACTCGTCGATGGAAGAATAAAATTGTACGTCGTCTCTTGCGAACCACGTAATCGCTGATACAGGAACTTGCAACGGTCGCTGTCGACGATTGGCAGACCGCGGATTTTCGCGGATATTCTCGTTCGCGAATCGAGGACGCGTCTTTTCCTTCCGCCGGAAGGTTTTGGCGAGAAAGAACGCTCGGACAACGCTGGTCGAGGGACGAACGAACGACGAGGGAAAGAGGACCGTGTAAAATCAATTAGACGGGTGTTCTCGGATAAACGGGTTCGTTTTATTTATCTACGAAAGATTTGCAGAATTTTCAGAAAACTAAGCGACGCGATCGTTCTACGGATCGTCGATAGAAATATCGTGGACGAGGAAGACGGTCGTGTCTCGTCAAATGATGTCCATGCCGGTTACAGCGCCTTCGATGTTTCCTACCAGCATGTTGAACAGGTCGTAGAAGATGTTTCTCTTCTCGAGGCGGTGTCCTTCCCGGATCGATCTCTTTCCCAGGTCGTCCAAGACCTTGCTCCCCATTAGTTTCCCACCGACGGCCATGTCGCTGAGATAACCCATCGGGACATCGTGGAAGAATTGGCTGATCATATCCCAGATGCCCCTCTTCGCGAGGTGCGAGCGGCTCGCGACTCCTGCCGGATCGCTCGCGGCGTCTCTCCTTGCCGCGCGAACGACGCCGTAATCGGGGTCGACGGGAACCAGCAATTTCAGAGGATGCGGGAGCGGGTTGCTCTCCACCGATGCTATCGAGACAGCTATCGCGACCAGCAACAAGAACTTCATCTTCGTTGTCGTTGTCGTTGTCGTTGTCGTTGCTTCGTTGCTTTCCAGAATAGAACGTGCTTCGATCGATCGGCTGCCGGCTTATATGTATGCCGCTCGAAGGTCGATTCAAGGTTGCGCACCGTGTCGCGATGCTAAATAGTAAATAGCTGTCGAGCGGAAGAATTACGTTTCGGATGTTTACCCTCGTTGAGCGATTTATGAAGCGCGCGAGCACCACCTGTATCGAGGCGGTTCGGTTTGTTCGAAGTTTCGAAGCCACGTGAATGATGGATAGGGTGCGGAGCGCGAGATCGTCAAGGTCGGTGGAACGGTTCGCGTCGACGCGCGCGGGCACCGTTCGCCGGGTCTGGCCTTTTTCCAGCCAGAAATCGAACACCTGGAGCGGCAACGCGATTATTTCTAGAGGATTCGCTTCGAAATCGAGAACGGATTTCTGAGAGAACTTCTATAGTTTCTGTCGTGGGACGAGGGAAATGGGAAAACGTCCAAAGGATACGGAGGACTCGACTCGAGTACTCCTCGAAGACGAGTACGTTGTTTCCGAAGGATTTACGCGCTTTCGAAGCAAGGACATCCTTTCCGAGAGTTCTGCATCGAGAACGAGGAAATCGTTGCCATCGGATCCGACCGTGGATCGGGTAGCGTCGCGTCGCCGTTCCATTCGTCGAAAGGACGTCGAACCGGATCCGTTCGCTTCGGCACAGTTTCGGCGATCGGGATATCGCGGATTCTCGTTCTTTTCTCGCTTTCCTCGTTCGCGATCTCTCTCGACACCATCCCTCGATCTCCGTCATTGCGAAACTCGCAGAAATTCGTAACGTTGGACACTGATCGAGTTGAAACTAATTTCCGCCAACGGTGCCGGGCTGATAAGTTTAGTTGTACGATGCGACGCGGCGAAGAATCGCTGACGCGACTCGTCGTCGGCGACGTAACGCAGAGTTCCGAATGTAATATTCTGTACGCGGTTATACGAAACGAGCACCGTCCGAGAAGAACGGGTAAAATATTGCTCGCGTTCGAAATAAGAGAAACGGAAAGAAGGACGAGCGAAACGGCGAGATAAAAATTCGGTCGAAGAGAAGGCTGCTCGAACAATCCTGAGCGATCTCGAATTTCTGGCGATTCGTGGTAATCGGCAGCCGCGCGTCCGGAAATGCGCTGCCGAAACGGACGCTTCGCGTCGGTCGGCCGCTCGAAAGTCGAAAGATCCGACTAGCCTTTGTTCGGCGTCGACCGGGTCGCGGCCGGAATCGCGACCGGGATCGCGGCCGGAATCGCGGCCGGAATCGCGACCGGCATCGCGACCGGGATCGCGACCGGGATCGCGGCCGCGGCCACGGCCGGCACCCTAAATCCGACGCGTACAGGCTTTTATAGTCTGTCGGCGGCAAAGGGTGTCGAAGCTGTTACTTTACCACGCAAGAGTGAATACGTGACCGGCTGTATAGGTTCTCCGAACGTTGCTGAAAGTGCAACGAGCCGCGCCGCGACCGCGCGAGCCGTTAGATGTTAGATAACGGCCGTGCCACGCCGTCGAAACCGTTCCCTCTGTTGCGTGCCGTCCTCCGACCGTGTCGTAACCTCGCGATGTCTCGCGTAGAGACGAGCAACGATGCAACGATGCAACGAGAACGGCCAACAAACGCGAGAGAATCTCTGGATCCGTCGCGTCGCGAGCGCGTTCGAGAGAGTCGGTCTACTCTCTGTTTGCTCGTTATCTTTTTTCTTTCACCATTCGACCGTAGTTGTTCCGGCACGTAAATTTATGCAGGCGCGGGCAATAACGCGACCGATTTTTCTTTCGAAACGGGACCGAAGCGGTTTCAGCGTCTTCGCGATCTTCGATCGACGAATTTAGGTTGCATCACCGTCCAACGTCGAATCTGTTACCGAACCCGGGCACGGAGCATTCGCTTTCGCTTTTAGCGATCCCGCGAAATAGAATTTTCCGTAGGCGCGCGATTTTTTAGCCGCGAGATATTTTTCGAGCGATTTCGACCTTCGACGTTATCGTAGAATACACGTGTACGCGTATAAATCGTTCTCCTGGCACAGCGTCGCCGGATCGATGGGAAATCTCGATCCGCGCGAACGGGCGACGGGTTTCGTGGCTCGCGCGGTCCGTCGCGTCGTTTGTCGTTAGTCGTTGGAAGAATTCGCTGTCGTCGGAAGAATTCAAAATCGATTAGAAACCGGTTGCGACAAGCTTATGCAACCGTTCGCAGACTTTTAACCGGCGCGTCGAGTTAACAGCCTTACGAGCGTGCCATTTTCGCGGCATCGATACCCGCGTCGTTTTCGCTTCTAACTTTCCTTCGCGATCGCATCGCGCATCTCGCGTCTCGCCTAAACGATCTTCGATTAACACGTGTACGTACACGTATGAAAGTTTACGTTCCCAAAGATAGAAAAATAGCGAAGCGATGCTACGAATAATATAAACGCGATTTAGCTGGAAACGATCGATTCGAGAGAGCTTCGAGAACGATGTTCGAAGATATCGTATAAATTATTGTGATTTTTGAAACGGTTGTTCCGCGGTGGAACGGCTCGACGAATGAAACGGACGACGCCACGCGGCGGTACTCGCGTTTATCGGGATTCGCCTAACGGACAGCTTATCGTTGACACCGTACGACGATTCGTTAGATTCGAGGGTTTAAGCAGCGGCGCTCGTTGCAACCGATAATTATCGGTGAAACGCGCGCCACGGTCGTCGCTCGCGTTGTTTCATCTTGTTGCTGTTGCGTGCCGCGCAAATGGAAGCAAATGGACCGCGGCAGTTTGAAACGGTTGAAAAGTGGAAAATAGGGAAGATACGGAAGAAGGAACGATGTGTTCCGATCGTTGGAACAGAAATTAAAACGCTTTCCATGTTCCGAACGATGCGAGGGAAAATAAAAGAATCGGGCTTTCTATATTCGTTTACGTAACGAAACGTTCTTTAGGATCGACCAGGCCGAAAGAGCGCTACCATCGCGGAAATAATAAGCGACAACGGACAAAGATAAGCAAAAATTGTAACGGATACGATAACGAAACATTTTTCGCGATGCGAACAATTGCAACGAGAGCGAAGCGTTCTTGTTTATTAAAATTTCACCGACCCGAAAGAAACATAAAAATCGAAGGAAACCGATAGAGGTGTCCAGTCAACGGAGCGAAAGAGAGAGAGAGAGAGAGAGAGAGAGAGAGAGAGAGAGAGAACAAATAACACTGATATGGTTAATACGTCTTTTTCTACGTGTCTATTTATTATGAAAATATAATACAAAACATCCTATGTTGTATTACATAGATAACAATGCTCAATTAACGTTTTTTTCCTCATTCCCTTTTCGTCATGTAACGTTACCATCCAACACTATGTGAAGCATTTATCAGGATAGGTAAAGTCGTGTTTCGCTTATTACCACGTTCGTTCGCGTTTTTTACTTTATCGTTCCGTGTTTTCTTTTATCATCGTTTCGTTCGTTCGTTCGTTCTTCTTTCTTCGCCTTCTTCTTTCTTCGTCGTCTTCTTCATCCTCTTCGTCGTCGTTTCGCTTGTTTACGTTGTTTCTTTATCTTTTTTGTTTTCTTCTTTCGTAATTACGTTTTTTTTTTCGTCGCTCGTGTTTCTTTTTTTTGTTGGTTTTCATTTGGTTTTGAAACCTCGTCCGAAGGAAAGGCCCGATATACAGAGAAGATTACAATAGACGAGACGTTTATAGAGCAGAATTACGAACCGAAAGGAGAAAAGAGGAGAAAAAGGATTTTCCGTTTTAGTGTTCTTTCGTGTGTTTCAGTGTTTTCCGAATCTCTTCAGAGAAGATCGTCCGATCGAGCGGAACAGGAA